CCAGTGTGGGGACCCACATGGGGCACGGGGGGGGGGGGGGGGGGGAGGGACAAATTGAAAGCAAGAAGCAGACAGGCAGGGAGCCCTAGCGATGGGAGGAAGGTCCAGCATGCAGTCTGCTCACTCAATCAAGGTGATTACTCTGTCTACACCTCAGTTTCTACCTTTGCAAAATGGGCACACTCTTGGGACTCAGGATTATCATAACGATTAAGCTGATTTCTAAATGAATAGTACATTCAAAACATTAGCTAAAGGTTAACCCTCCCATGAAATCACTCATTCAGCAACTATTTATGGAGCCTGGACTCTGCTGACCCTGGCAGGTCCCTGGGCAGAAGCCCTGTCCTTGCCATACCTCATTTATGTTGAGTTGAATGAACTCCTTATTCTTCATTCTGAGAGCCTGGAACACCCCTGATAGGAGAGACACAGAAAGGTGTCATTGCTGAGATTCTCCTTCAGCAGGCCTTATCCTTGCCCAGTGACTGAGGGTGTTCAGGAGACCTGGGAGGGAGCTGATCCATCTGGGGGGTAACAGGGATTTTCTGGAGTGGTAGGTGGGACTCAGAATGAGGGGGTTACTCTCATTCTGACAGGAACTACCTCAGTCCTTGCAGCAAGATGGTGGCCTTAGGTGGGGCTATTTTGTTTATTGTTCCTCCTCTGAAGGGTGAGTCAAACAGATGAAAAAAGTTGGGAAAAGATGCAAGGCACTGATGTCATGTTGTTTATTGACTGACTTTAGTGAGCTCACAGAGCTCTTAGTAGGCTCACAGAGCCCATAGCAGCACTCACAAGCACTTCTTCCCTCTTGGAGCTTGTGTTTGTGTGGAGAACACTCACAGAGTGCTTTTTCCTTCTCAGAGCTCATGGTGTGTGAGACTGAGCCAAGCCAAGGCCATCAGGGCTCACCAGCCTGAACCAAGACAGAGCTAAGGAGAGCTAGCTGGCCGAGCAGTGCAGCACAGCTGACCAGGTGCTCCTTTCTCTAAAAGGGGCTGCAGACAATAGTGGCTCATTCCTAAAGCCAAACACATGCACATGTGCATTGTAATGGTATAAACAGCAAAGTCATAATTATATAACAAGTGCACAAACGCAGCACAATGCAAGTTATTTGCCCTGTGGCCTTCAAACAGGATAAGATAGGAGGTGAGGGAGCAAGACGGAAGCCTCCTGACCCCATTTTCAATACAGGGGCAGCTAGTGCTGTCATCTACAATAGACCTACTGGCCAGCCCACCAGCCCCCATGTCCAAGACATTCTGATCCCTGGAAATCCAGGGACCCCAGAGAAAAAGCACATGCACATAAGGTTGCCATGAGGCTGAAAGAAATTCAGTCTTTCTTGAGTCCCTGTGGAAAGGGGCCCTGAGTACTCTCATGTGGTAGGAGAGCCCAGTGAATCAACACTGAGCTCACGCAGGGTCCACTGCACAGCGTCACCCAAGAAAGTCACTTTCCTCTCTAGCTTCAGTCTTCTCCCTTAAGAAAAGGTTGAGCCTATCAGCCCTGGCCTCACAAGACAACCACCTAGGAGCTTGAACAACATAAAGAAAAGGACTGTCACAGATGAGAGAAACGAAACAAATGGGACTCCACAGTAAAACGTAGTGAGTGGCCTCAGTTTGGCCTCCGAGTCAATCAGACTGCTGTAAAAGCCTCCGGGGAGCTCCAGGAGGCACTGGGCGGTGGGTGGTATGGAGGGCTCACTGAGAATTTCATTAGGTGTGCGGAGGGCATGCCAGCCATGCTCAAAACAAGTCCATCTACTCCAGATACTCACAGCGGAGAGGATAGAACTTCTGAGATCTGCGATTAAATGAACTAGGGGGAAATGTGCACACTGAAGAAATGTAGGGGAAAAAATTCACAGGATGCTAATTGCCAAGGCTGGAACCAGGACCCTGAAGCCAGCTGCTGCCCAATGTTCTGTTAGTTGGTCTAAGCTCCCCCGGGGTTGTGGTGAGAAGCGCAGGGCCTGTCAGGGGGAGCCCTTTATTATTACTTACATTTAAAAGGATGATTGAAACTGCATATATTATAAAGTTAAAGTAATACTGGGTAAAGCTCCAGCCTTAGTAGTTCAAAAGATTCAGGACCAGCACATGGCATAATGGTCATGTCATGGGACTCCCCTGTAATCAACTGTGGTTCGAATCCCAGACCTGGTGGCTTGAAACTCACACCAGGCACATGTGTGTGTGTGCTCAAGAGCCCAGGAGGAGAGCAGAGAAGGGATTGTGATGTGGCCATCCCCCCTGATGGTGATTTTTCACTTTCTGTCTCTATGTCTCCCTCTGTCTCTCTGGCAAGAATATGCACCTTATAGCAAAAATCTCTTACAAAAAAGGGGGGAATGTCAGGTGGCGTGGTGGTTAAAGGTGCTGGATTCTCACATGGTCGACTGCAGTTTGAGTCCCGGAGCTGGAGGCTTACATTCTCCCTTTCCCTTTCTCTTTCTCTCTGGTCAACTATTAAAAAAATAGTAATAACAAATGGAATTAAATAAATACATAAGTCTTGAAAAAAGTAGTTTGAAAGCTTCTCCAGGGGAGTCTAACATGAGGGTCCCAGAGCAGATGGTGTTAAGAATGAACGTTCTTCTTCCTAAAAGCCCTCCATGATAAAGCCACACTGGGAAGGAGGAGTCTTGGGGAGATTTAGAAGCTGAGGGAAGAGACTCATTATTCCGGCTCAGCTCTGACGGCTCAGCGATTCTAATACGTTATTATCTTCTAGGGAGGGTCTTTCTAGGATGCACACCTCACAAGCTACTGCTGCCCCTGAGAAAGCCCAGCCTCCTCTTTGACACACAGGACCTTAGAACCTGCTTGCTTCGCCTGAACCTCTTGCCACCTGTTGGTCACTGAGGTGAGTACAGCTGTCCTGGTGCCCACAGGGGATGAAGGCGTCTTTTAAGCAAGTGATCACAGTGTCGTCACCAAGGAAGTAGAGGGAGCTGTTGCACCATGTAGCTGTGGACCACAAGCCCCGCCTTTCATCACCAAGAGCCTTGAGATTACCTCGTAAGCGTATTTCAGAAAGTGCCCAGCGAGCCAGACACCTGGTTTGTGGGACACGCTGCAAACTGGGGCTGCAGGGTCTCTCGTTCAGCTTTCAAGATGGAGATAGTGGGGCACTAAACCAGGCATGGGGTGCCCTCGGGTGCTCGGGGGGCACCCGCACAGGTGAGGAGCTCTCGCAGCTTCGGGGAGCCAGTCACAGCCCTGGACCACTTCAGCCTCACCTTCCCACTGCCCTGCGCGCTCTGGAGCGCCCCCACAGAATCGCGTCTGGTTTCAGAGTGACAGTCGCTGCTTCAGAGAACTGGATCAACATCTAGGGCTCCCAGGGGAGAGAGGGGAGGGACAGGGGCGGCTTCGGACTCACATGCACTGACGGGATCTGACCTGAAGTCAGCCACACCAAGGAAAGCCTGGCCGAGCAGATGCACAGTCTGCCATTGGCTGACCACACGGCCCCCTGTCCACACAGGCCACACGAGGCCTCTCGGGTCTGTCTGAAGGGCAGGTGGAATGACAAGATGGCCCTCCCCGGGCCGAGGACACGCAGCCCAGCAGGACACTTACGGCTCCCCCCCTCCCCCCCCCAGCAGAGGAAGTCGTCGAAGTCCAGCTGCAGCCCCTCGTCGGCATACCTGAGGACAACGAGCTGCAGCAGGTGACTGCCCAGCTGGAAGCCTGCGGGGAACGAGGACACAGGGCACAGGCAGAGCCACCGGGGGAGTGCGCGCCTCCGGGAGCCCCCGCCCGCCCAAGGAGAACTGATAAAAGGGGACTCAGAATGAGTTCCAGACACTGCGGCCCTGCCCTGGGTCAGGGTGCAGCGGGACAGCCTGCAGCTGTACTGGGGTGGGGGCTGGGGACTCCCAGAGGCCCCCTCTGAACCCAGTGGCTTCTGAGTTGATGAGTTCAGGTCTGGGTTTTGATGCCAACATCCCCGACTTCGAGAAGCTTTGTCTGTGGGAACTTAACCTTGGAGAATCTGAGCCCCACGTCCCTTTGGCACCTCAGTCTCTGAGCTCACGTCCTGCCCTGGGTCCTGCTGGCTGTGGGAGTTCCCGCCGTGGCACTGACGGGCACAGTTTCCAAGGGTGTCTTAGCCCAAGGACACTGGGGGTGCTGGAAAGGCTTCTTGGAGGGGATGGCTTTCTCGTGAGCGACTCTGTGCCAAGGGCCCATGCCCACCCACGCACGAGAACCCCAAGGCCTGGGTGGGGCCTGGTGCTGCTGCAGCTGGGGCCGAGTGGCTGCACTTCCTCAGGCAGTCTCCGCGTCTGCCAAGCGAGGGTTCAGCCGAGGCAAGCTCCTTCTAGATCCACTGTTTAGTGCTTCGATTTCCACTCGATGCCCTTAAAGGCAACTTTGTCTTGCCCTTTCGTTTTCTTTCTTTCTTTCTTCTTTCTTTTCTTTCTTTTTTTTTTTTAAGAGTTTTTTTTTTTTTTTTGAGAGGTTTTTGCTATAGGCTGCATGCGCTTGCCAGAGAGAGAGAGACAGAGAGACAGAAAGCGAGAAATCACCCCCCGGGGGGATGGCCACGCCACAGTCTCTTCTCTTCCATTCTCCTCTCGGGATCTTGGGCACGCACGCACATGCGCCCAGCGTGAGTTTAAGCCACCGGGTCCAGGACTTGAATTGCGGTTGACTACATGGGAGTCCAGCGACATAGCATTACTCTAACTGCTGGTCCCTGTCTTGCCCTTTCTTTCATGCCTGCATGCTCACTTCCAGGAAGTGTCCACAGGGTTGTCGGGAGCTCCCCAAGTCCTGTGTCCGTCCCAATTTCAACCGTGGGAGGAGGCAAGTCAGAGGCCAAGTCGTGTCTAGGTGCACAGGGACCTGGCTGCTGGCTAGCCCAGCATCCTGGCGCCTGCCCATGATGGGGCGGCAAGAGCAGGGTGGGGTAGTCCCCCCATACCACGTGGGGTTAGGAAAGGCTCAGCCATGCCCTCTCTGATGGGCTCTCTGTGTCCCCCACTCAGTCTCTCCTGCCCAGAAAACAGGGTCCTAGCATCTAAGAAAACCAGGTGCCCTTCTTGCATTATGATACATTTTATTTCCCTGTCATATCAGACCCGAGACAGCCCTGACAGCACACCCTGCCCCTTTATCACACCAGGGAGATAGAACTGTCTCTGGATGACTGGCCTCCCGGGGAAGGAGCCACATTGTAAGCTTCCAGCCCTTCATCTACAAAGCTGTTTATGAGGCCTGAGTCAGCCTTGTACAAGGTTGGGCTGCAGGGTGCCCACCCAAGCCACAGCCAGGTGCCCTGAACACTGAGGCTCAGGGGCTCACACTGGCTCGGCAGAGACGCCTCCCGGGGCCATGCCGCATGAGGGCGAGCAGTGTAAGCTACAGATGCATTGTCACTTTGGATTCGGTTTGCTGCTGCAAAGCCAGGGACAGGGCTGCAGGTGGCCGAGGGATGGGGAAGCTCCCCAAACGCGAGCACACGTGTGCCCCACCTCATCCATGACAACCACCGTCTGAAAGCAGAAGTTAAGGTTCACCTGCCACCAAAGAGTCATGTATGACTCCACTGGGCCAGAAAACTTGGCCAAGGCTAAGTCCCCTCGGGGACAGCCAGGCTCCTTCTCCTGGGTACACTTTAAAGACCCTCTCCAATGTCCACAGGGGTCGAATCTGAACTCTGTGCAAGCGGGTTCTGGAACAGAGGACTGACCCTGCCACTCAGAGGGCTGTGGCCCCGAGAAACATCACCTCAGCTCCAAGACCCACCTACTGGGCAGTGGGGAGAACTGCTCCCGCTGGGCTGGAGAGTGAGCGACCACCCACGGGAGCCAGCGGTTTCCTTACCTGCGGCTTTCAGTGCTGTCCGCAGCTCGTAGGAGGACATGGTGCCCGATTTGTCAGCATCGAACTGACGGAAAAGATTCTGGGGAGGAGAGCAGAGGCACTGGGGTGACATGGGGTGCAGTGCTGGTGAAAGCTAGGCAGGTAGCAATCCCTCCCAGGGGCCATGAGGGCAGTGGGTGGCCTGGCCCTCCAAGAAGGAGTAGGACTCTTTTCGTCTAAGTTTCCAAACTGCATTGCGATGCCTTCCCCTCCCCACTTTCCTGAGAGCTGAGCCTTTTAAAGTCCTCTCGTCTCTGAATTCCCACGTAGTTGATTGCGGTTCGAGTCCCGGACCCCGCAGCTTAAAACTCACGCTGTGTGTGTGTGTGTGTGTGTGTGCCCAAAATTCTGAGAGGGAAATAGAAGAGAAGGGATTGTGGTGTGACCATGCCCCCCGGGGGAGTGATTTCTCACTTTCTGTCTCTTTGGTGAGCACATACACCGTAGAGCAAAAATCTCTCTCTAAAAAGAAAGAAAGAAAGGAAAGAAGGAAGGAAGAGAGAAAAGAAAGGAAGGAAGAAAAAAAGAAGAAAGAATAAAAGAAAGAAAGATGTCCTTTGCCAGGAGGTGGGAGTGGAAGGGCAGCAGGTGGCGTGGTGGTTAAGGTGCTGAACTCCCACATGACCAACCATGGTTCAAATACTGGACCTGGTGGCTTGAAAATCATGCTCTGTGTGTGTGTGTGTGCCCAAAATTCCAAGAGGAGAATGGAGGAGAAGGGATTGTGGCGTGGCCATCCCCCCGGAGAGTGATTTCTCACTTTCTGTCTCTCTGATGAGCGCACACACCCTATAGCAAAAATATCTCTCAAGAGAGAAAGAAAGAGAAAGGAGAACAAAAGAGAAAGAAATAAAGGAAAAGAAAGAAAGAAAGAGAAAGAAAGAAAAATTTCCTCTATCAGGGAGTGGGGAGAGTGGAGGGGAGGCAGGTGGCATGGTGGTTAATGGTTAAGGCACTGAACTCCCACATGACCAACCATGGTTCAAGTACCGGACCTGGTGGCTTGAAAATCATGCTGGTTGTGTGTGCATGTGCCCAAAATTCCAAGAGGAGAATGGAGGAGAAGGGATTGCGGTGTGGCCACCCCTTGTGTAGGAGGGTGATTTCTCTCCCTCTCCTTATCTCTCCCTGGTGAATGCATATGCCCTATGGCAAAAAACTTTAAAAAAAACCCAAGGACACAAAAATCCCCTGTGCCCTAGGCGAGATGCCAAGGCCGAGCCTGCCCGGGTTCCGTACAATCCACTCCTTCAACTTGGTCCAGAACACTTTGAACTCGTCCAGCTCCAGCTTCCCATTGCCACTGGTCTGGTCGCGTGGGTTAAGGAGACAAGAGTGATGCTCCAGCAGGAGGCTCTGCGCGGGACCCCGGCCTGGGACCTCGGGCAGAAGGTCAATGGGCAGGGTTGAGATGGAGGTAGCTCCCCAAGGGACCCTGAAGTGGCAATGAGATCCTTAATCCCCCCAAGACATTCCCCCACTGTCGATCCTGACTCAATTCTAGTGCCAGGGGTCCCCTGGTTTGGCTTATTTTCCGTGAAGAAGACTGCTGTGCTGGGTAAGGGTCCTGTCTCAGAAGGTTTGCACTGCAGAAAACCGCTCTCCTGGACTCTCCTGGAATCGCTGAGCTCCAGCATCTGTCCCCCCACAAGCGTTTGGAAAGATACGTCCATTAGAGAAATGATGTTTTTACAGGAGCTCAGGCTTAGCTTCTTGAATTTGATGTCCTTTTCTGAAATCACACATGAAAGCTGAGTTTGTTGACCCCCGATAAGAAACAACCTGCCCCCTCACCTGCAGACAGCACGCTGGCCGGCTGGCAGTGGCCAGACTTCTCTCACGACGTGGTGAGGGGGGTGCCAGCTAGGCCTTGCAGAAGAAAAATTTGCAAAATGTGAAAAACACCTTCAAAATGGGAATACTTCTTCATCCATTTATCCTAGTTTTAAGAATCCCAAACAGGAACAGCAGGTGGCATGGTGGTTAAAGCACTGGACTCCCAGATCTTTGGTTCAAGTCTCAGACCTGGCAAGTTGCTCTCTTACCTCCTCTCTCTCTCCCTCCCCCTCCCTGTCTCTCTCTGGTGAGTGCATGTGCCTTATAACAAATTAAAACAAATGATAGTAATAATAAATAAAATTAAATAAATAAGTTGTAAAAAAAAGAATCCCAAGCAAAGAATTACATATGAAGATTTTATCATCAAGTTATTTATAATTGCACACTTTTAGAAATAATGTAAATGACCAACAGAAGGTATGGTTAATAAGTTAGGGTATGCCCATGAGATGAAATACAATATTACACATTCCTCTGGAGTCGTGTTTTTGAAGCATATTTCATGACCTGCAGACGTGTTCGTGCAAGTTATTTAAAGGCAGGTCTTACAATTTTTGGAAAAATTTGAATGAGTATAAATGTAACATAGACACTTTGGGCGGTTGAGTAGTTTTTTTAAACACTAACCAGTTACCACATGACCCAATAATTCTCTTTACATACCCAAGAGAAACAAACACATGGGTCTACCCCACGCTCGTACTTAAATGTTCACGGCAGTGTGGCTCGCGATAGCCTCAAACCAGCAACAACCCACATGTCCATTGATGGACAAGCGAATTAACAATGCGTGACTGGCCGTACCAGAGTGCTATTTGGCTATAGCGAGGAATGAGATACCAATGCATGCTAGAACGTGGGCGAACCTTGAAAGCACATGACTAAGTGAAAGAAGCTGGTCAAAAAGGCCACAGAGCATATGAGTCCTTTGAATGAAATGTCCAGGGTAGGTAAATCTAGATTAGAGGTTTCCTGAGCCTGAGGTGCTGCTAACGGGTGCAGGGTTTCTTTTTGGAGTGAGATGACAATGTTCTGAAATACGTTCCGTACACACAGACACAGTCCTACATAGGTACATATATACATGGACATGCACACAGTAGCAGTGATTATTCATGGCTGGTGAGATGATTGCGATTGCTATCTTTGCCATTAGGCTTTTCTGTGTTTTTAAAAGAATTTTCTACCATAAACCTACATCATTTTTATAGTCAGAAATTAAATGATGATAGCTGTGTTTAAAGTCAGCTATCAGCCAGCCCTGGGAGGCAGATCTGTGGCTCTGCAGAGCCAGCACCTGAAGGAGTAGAGGGGTTCCAGGCAGTGGGTCATGGGCCCCTCCATAGGAATCCTGGCTCCCCAGAGGAGCAGTACTCACTCTTTTGCAGCACTGCATTGAGAACGTATTTCAGTTCCTCTGCGGTCACCTCCATGTCCTGTCGAAGTGAGACAATTGCTCTTCACGGCCTGAACACCTTCATGGTTAGAGTCTCTATCAGTTCCAAGCTTGATTTGGCTCTAGTGATAGCATGGCCCTCAGGAGCCTGCTGCAGGCAGATGTGCCCACTTCCTATGCAGCTGCAGCCCAACTTGCTTCTCAGGGAGGCCCCAGCCCAGCCCAGCCCAATCCAGGACAGGCCCTGCCCAACCCAACTCAATCCAACACAACCCAGTAAGGCCCAGCCCAATCCAACTCAACCTAATACAACCCAACGCAACCCAACACAACCCAAGACAAGCCCAGCCCAACCTAAGTCAATCCAACATAACCCAGGAAGGCCTAGCCCAACATAACAGAATCCTGGACAGGCAGAGCCCAACTCAACTCAACCCAACACAACCCAACTCAATCCAACACAACTCAGGAAGGCCCAGCCCAACCCAACTCAACCCAACACAACCCAACTTAACCCAACTCAACCCAACTCAACCCAGGACAGTTCCAGCCCAGCCCAACTCAACCTAACACAACCCAACTCAACCCAGTTTGACCCAACACAACCCAACACAACACAACTCAGGAGTGGCCCATTCAACTCAGGAGAGGGTTCCAGAAGACTGGGCAAGGTGTTCTTGCCCACCTTCCCTGAGTATAAGAAGTGGAATTGTTTGTAAAACTCCCCAGATTGTTTGTAAAACTCTTCAAATGCTAGAGTGAGTTTGAGAAAATTGTTCTGAATCTCCAAAGCCTCTACAGAGCAATTCTTGCATCTGAGGCTTACCCTGGAGATCACTCAGGTCGGACCTGGAAGTGGCTCACTGATTATTTTTAAACCCTAGGGCTGAATTTTATCATCTCAGTGTCCACAGCACTAGAAGCTTCTTAGAAATGCAGCCTCAGGCTTACCCAGATCTCCGGAGGAGAAACTGTTTTCTGGGTGCTTGGCTGATTTTTTTTTTAAAGATTTTATTTATATATTTATTTATTTATATATTTATTTATTTGTTTATTTATTTATTTATTTATTTATTTAAATTTGACGAGAGAGAGAGAGAAAGAAAGAGAGAGAGAGAGAGAAAGAAAGTGAGAAGGCAAACTGCCAGGTTCAGGACTTGAGCCATGGTCAGCCATGTGGGAGTCCAGCGCCCTTAACCACCACACCACCTGCTGACCCCTTGCATGATTTTTAAATGCAGAAACTTTGAGTAGCACTGTACTGGGCTAATTTCGTCCAGGGTTTTGGAACACGACTACCTGGGGAGTCATTTGACACATGCCTGCCCGAGTCCAGCCCCTGCTGCTTCTGGGCCTGGGAAGCAGGGGCTTCGAATGTTTGACCTGCTAGGGAGGCACTGATCTAGCCCTGTGGATCCGTGGAGGAAAGGGAGGTGACGTCCAGCTGATCAGAAGAAAAGCAGAGTGGGAACTGAGTGGTCTGAGCTCTGCTCTAGACCTGCTCTTGTGCTTTTAAGAACAGTTGAGCAAGGGGCAGGAAGTGGCATGGTGGTTTCCCACATGGCCAGCTTCATGGTTCGAGTCCTGGACCCAGTGGCTTGGAAGCCACAATCAATCAATCAACCATCAATCAATCATCAATCAATGTTTTAAAAAGAAAAGAAAGGTTGCAAGAATCTCCTGCAACATTCACCCCTTCCCTCCCAGACCGTGAATCTGCATTCCTGGCAGTTTGGTCCCTGTCCCAGAGCAGGGCACGCCGGGTTCGACCAGCACTCCCAGCACCCTCTGGGTGGTCCTGAGGCTGAGCTTTGACCCTGTCTCCTGTCCCTCACCATGATCTGCCTGCCCAGGGCTGAGAAGGAGAGGTGCCTCTCTCTCCGATGTGGTTTAAGCAAAGGCACAGGAGTCCTCACTTTTCTGCCTCCCAGTCTGTGGTCCCCTGTTTGTGGCAGTACCCGAAATGCCACTGTCAGAGACTCATCCCCTAGGTTCAGGTACCAGCCTCTACTGCCCCCAGCCTCTTTCCCAATTCAGAAACCCTGTCCAGGAAACAGAAAGCCAACGCTGTTGTTTGCACCTTGCCATGAGCTACTTCCCCAGGCTCACATTTTTCTGGCTACCAGTGGGGAGGGTTCAAGGGACCCCCAATGGGCAGTTTCTAGGAGGAACCCCCCCGCAATCTTCACCAAGAGGAGGAGCCCCCCTTCCATCCTCATTAGGAGGAGGAAAGCTTTGGAGCTGTGCGAGGCTCCACCCAGGTCCCCCGGAGTGCTGGGATTCCCCCCAAGAAGGAAACTAAGCAGGAGAGAGGGCTGGGATGGGGTGGAAGACCAGGGACAGAGCGTGGGAGACAGCAAGGCATTAGAATTTAGTGTGGCCCCGTGATCGCCTCCCTTCGGCCAGACCAGAGACCATTCTAACGCAGGGACTCTGGGCAGAGCTCAGCCCGGCCTCCTTTTCCAAGCTCTCTAGCTCCCTAAACAAGGCGTCTGGGCAGGTTCCAAGCACCTCTGCTTTGTCGACTATGGCAGGCTGGTGTTAAAAGCTGTGTGCTCAAGGAGATCTTGGGCCTCAAATGACCAGGGCTGGCCTCACTTGCAATAAGTCCCCATGTCTTGGGCTGCGGCAAACCCCACGACTAGCCCCTCCACTGGGGAGCCCGGCTTCAGCTCTGAGCCCAGTGAGAAGACTACAGCACAGTGTGCCTACCTCTCCAGCAATCCGCTCAAACAGGGCCCGGAACTGAAAAATTCCTCTGTCTCTTCGCTTGGTGGAGACGGTTTTGTAGGCTAGAAAACCACCAAAGGAGCGTGCATAAAAGGACTCACCAAAAAGCAACACAAACAAAACACGACTACAGAGCCGACCCCACAGCCTAGAGGTTGAGAACGCTGGGTCCCAAGTGGCCAAATGTGATTCAAATATCAGCCCCACTGCCTTGAAAACCATGCCAGGTGCATGTGTTCATATGTGTGCCAGAACCCCGACAAGGTGGAGAAATGGGGGAGAAGGGATTGCAGCGTGACCACCCCAAGGGCTGCCGGCTTTCTTCTGCTCTCAGTTTCTCTCTGATGAGGGCACGTGCCTTCTAACAATTAAAAAGAAACTTGCCTAATAGCAGGACAGCAGTGAGAGTTTCCAGCCCTCTTGAAGCGGCTTGGGCTACCACCACCACTGCCGTCCATGGGGAACAGCAGCCTGATCCCTTGTGAGGCCTCCTGGCCACAGGAGCAGTCAGGAGGGGCACGTTATCACCACACCCCACAGGCCTCCTGCTTTGTAGTGGAGCCAAGAAGGCTAACAGACCCCCAAGCAAGGGAGCCAGCACCAGTGAGCATACTCCCTGCCCTTCCTGCTTGGACTCACTGTCCCGGTGGGCTGCCTGGCTCAGCATCTGTTCTGATGGATGCTAAGGTCTCCCAGTGCTGGAGTCTGTTTCCAGCTGCAAGCACAGGGCCTGGGGCGGGCAAAGCGCTCAGCAGGAGTTTGGTTTTGGTGCCATTAATAAACTGCAACCAGAGTGGGCAGCCAAGCAAGTGCCCTCCTGAAAGCAGGTTGCTGCTGCCCCTGCACACACGCTGCCAGCCAATCCCAGCACCTCTGAATGCCCGCGGCCCTTGGAGCAGAACAATCCCAGCTTCCTCTCTTGCCCGGCACGCACACACAGTGTAAGGGAGAAGTCCTGTTTTCCCAAGTCCACAGTCAGAGAATACGCCTCTTGTGTGTTCTTCTTACTGATTATCGGTCTTACATAAAATGCATTTGAAAGGTGTCCCAGCCCCTCTCAGGTGGAGTGGACAGCAGAGAAAGATGGCATCGAACAGGCCTGGACACCCAGCGCCGACCTCGCTCCCACGTAGGGTCCTAATGGAGTGGGGGCTGGGAGGCACAGACCTCGATCTCCAGGAAGCGAGAATCACAGGTGCTTACCTGATGGCGAGTAACAATGCTCTGAGCTTTAGGGTTTTAAATAACATTGTGGCCGGGAGGAAGGTTCCAGAGCCATCAGTGGAGCCCCATCCTCCACAGCAGCATCGGAAGACTCACCTCAGGAAGGTCAATGTCCACACTTCCGTCCATGTCCCTGGAAGGGCAGAAGACACGCTGCTCAGGTGTCGACTTCCTTCTCACTGGGTCTCAGAACTAGTGGGTCCAGAGCTGGGGGGAGTGTCTGTCCCGCTGACACCAGCCCGCTCTGTGCATTTACATTTCCGGGGCTGCGGAACCCCACATGTGACGTCCAAACGCAGTCATGCAAACCCTGCCCAGTGAGCAGTTAGAGGGCGACAGGGAGAATCACTGCCCAAGGGGAACCCGTGAACTCCGGATATAGAGAAGACAAAGACAGTAACGGAGCCACGCCCTCCCTGACGTGCCGTAACAAGGCCTGCGACTGTCATGCACTGTCGTGACGTGGTGCTGCAGCACCAGGACCAGAAGCAGCAGCCTCCCTGCATGCTTGCTGCTTACCGATGCGGGAGGCACGCGAGTGGGAGGCTGGGCATGCAGCCTGTGGAGGGTTAGTCACTGGTAGAGGTGAGAAGGTAGGATTTTAAAAGATCACAGACTGGGACCAGCAGAGGGCGTAATGGATACTGAGCTCCCACGCAGTCGACCATGGTTTGAGTCCCAGACTCAGCAGCTTCAAACTCACGCCGGGTGCATGTGCCGGCATGCCCTGAATCCCGAGAGGAGAATGGAGGAGAAGGGATTGCAGTGTGGCCATCCCCTCTGGGGGGACGATTTCTCGCTTTCTGTCTCTCTGTCTCTCCAGCAAGCACACATGCCCTATAGCAAAAACTTCTCTTAAAAAAGTTACAGAGCAAGTTTAGAACCCAGAGCTGTACCCCTGAAGCTGTGGCTGACTTTTTGACCTTCCCATAGACCTAAGTCCCTTATTCCGCAGTGAGGTGGGAGGGACTGTGTGCTTATGTTTGGGGGAAAGAGGAAAAAGGATGCAAATGTTTATTTTGCTACTCACATAATTGGGAGACCCCGCAGTGTTTGGCTAGCAGTAATACTAAAGGGTGAGCAGGTTTCTACTTTTGTTGATGCTAAGAATATTTGGAAGAATCCAACCTTATGGATTAAAACCTACAGGTCTTCCAAAAAAAAAAAAAAGGAATAAAAACCTCAAAGGCAATACAAATAAACACTCTTTAAGATTGCACAAGGACTGGACCAGCAGATGGCATAATGCTTACATCACTAAACTCCCACGCAGTTGCCTGCAGTTTGAGTCCTGTACCCAGTACCTTAAAACTCACACCGGGTGCATGTGTGTGCATGCCCAAGATCTCAAGAGGATAATGGGGGAGAAGGGGTAGTGGTATGGCCATCCTTCCTAGGGGTGATCTCTTGCTCTCTGTCTCTCCATCGAGCATACATGCCCTATAGCAAAAATCTCTCTTAAAAAAATAAGAAGATGGCACCGGGGTGGTCCCACCTTCCCTCCTCATCCCCTGGGCACAACACAGTCCTCCAGAACTTCTGTCTGATCAGGACATTCTCTGAGAGCCGAATCAGAGTGCTCTACACAGACCTTCTGTGTAGAGCTGGTAGTTTTGTCTTGTTTTGTTTTGGGCCTAGGGCACATACAGTCATTGGAGAGAGAGAGAGAGAGAGAGAGAGAAACAGAGAAAGGAGAAGTCACCCCCCCCGCCCCCAGGGGAATAGCCATGCTGCAATCCCCTCTCCCACCATTCTCCTCTTGGGATTCTGGGCACACACCTACAAGAGCTTGATGTGATTATCAAGCCGCTGGTCCAGGACTCGAACTGTGGTCGGCTATGTGGGAGTCCAGTGCAACCTGGTTTTCATGCTCAGTATCACAGCAGATCAACGTGTCTGGTTCAGGGCGAGCTTGAGTGTGATGTTAACTTTGCCACCTACAGACCACCCGTAAATGCCAGGGACTCCGACCTCTGCCCACTAAGAGGACAGCACATAGAGGTAACGGTCGGCACAGCCAGGCTCCTTCCTTCTCACCCCGCCACCCACGAGAGTCGCCAGCCCAGTCCGCACGGTCCTTGTGAAAGGCGCTTTTGTGTGAACAGATACTGGCTATCCGTCCTCAGCTCGTACTGGCACCTGGGAGGAGGCTGGATGCGAAACAGCTAAGGACTGTACTGCGTCTCTAGTAGCCCGGGGAAAGAGCCACGCCTTTCGTAACTAACCAGATGCAACCGGAGCCTCGGAGAGGCGCAGCAGCAGTCCCGTCCTCCTCGCTGACCAGACAGGCCCAGAGCAGGCCTGTGCTCACAGCCTCTCACCTGCTCTGTGGGTGGGTCCTTTGGTGGGGGCTTGGGTAACTTACGTACAAAATTAGTGGGTTTTGGCATTCTCTGTAATCCCTAGAGCATCGTCACTGGGGAAAGCAATGCATTCTCACACCTTAAACCATTTGTCCTCTGCCTCAGAGCAGCCGACAGCCAGTGTGCAGTAAGAGGGACTTCCATAGAAGTGACTGGTCCGAAGCAGTTTTGCCAAGCTCTGCCAGCAAGAGGCCGCAGAAGGCCGAGTGTGAACAAGCCACTGTCCCTAACCTTCCAGCCCAAGGGGGACAGGCCTCGTGGAAGACAATCCCTCCATGGGCTGGGATGGTCCCGGGGTGACCCAAGTGCACCACATCCACTGTGCGCCCCATTTTCAGCACCCCCATTTTGCATTATAGCAACAATCGCACAACCAGCTTGCACTGGCGTGGGAATGAGCGCTGTCAGGACCGCACAGGAGGCGAGGATCGGGCGGCAACGGGAGTGATGGCGCGGCTGTCCCCCCTCCTGCTACATGGTTAGCACTGAGGGGAAGGCCGTGGATGGACACCGTCCGCAGCTAGGGGTTGGGACCCCAATGGACAAAGGTAGGCAGATCAACGTTGGCCAATGTTAATTCAAAGCGGAGCTGAAAGAACACATCATTCTTGAAACGTGCAGTTTCTTCATCGAGCTCAGAAACGAGCTGGCAGCCCTAAGCACGGGTCCAGCCCCAGAGGCTTCCTGGTATAGGGTCTGATAAATGGGAGGCTCTGCCCGAACGAGTCCGCAGCAGTGGGGGCCTTTGCTCCCCCAGCAGTGGGGTGCTCGGAGGGAGAGCAAGCTCAGATGGAAGTGGACCCTGCTTGGCAATGAGAGAGGGCACCGCCCTGCTGGCCCTGGGGTAGACAGTGGGGAGGGATGAGTGGGAAGAATGGGGTCAGGACTCCAAGAGTCCCCGCGCCTCTGTGTGATCAGTCACTAAAGGGAGGGCCCGCACTCACTGGGTAACAGCTCTCTTCTCTGAAAAGATCCTCAGGCAGAAATCGGCTTCCTGGTGAGGCTCGAAGGTGCTGGGGATGAGGACGTACTCCCCGGGGGGCAGCCTGAAGCGGCCGGAGACTTCCCTCAGGTTGATGAAGGTTTTGCTCCTGGCCTGGGAGGCGTGGAACCTGAAGAAGTCTCTGTCCAGGCGCTCGCCTCCGTCGGGGCACTGCAAGGAGCGAGCGGCTCTCGGGGGCCTGATCTGGAGCTGCCACTGGTCCCAGCATGACACCGAGGAGGAACCGAGGACTCGGGCTCAGACCGTGGCCTCGGGGGTGCAGCGTGGGCCCCACCTACCTGGTAAATGGCGTAGCCGATGGTCAGGACGTTGGCCCCGAATCGCTTGAGTTTCCTTCGGTCTTTCTGCATCAGGGCTACGAGGAAAGTGCATTCCTCCTGCCCCTCGTCTTTCTCGGTCAGGGACAGCTTGATCTGCGGATTGGTCCAAAAGGTATCTGCCATTTCAAAGAGCTGCATTAATTTCCCTTCCTTGAAAAGATCCACAAAGGGGCCCAGCAGATGGCATAAAGCTGTGTCTCTGGACTCCCACGTAGTCGACCACGGTTTGAGCCTTGGATCTGGTGGCTTAAACTCATGCCGGGCGCGTGTGTGTGCATGCCCAGAATCCCGAGAGGAGAGTGGAGGAGAAGGGATTGTGACGCAGTCATCCAGTCTAGGGGTTATTTTCTTGTTTTCTATCTCTCTGTCTCTCTAGCAAGCACATGCACCCAATAGCACCCCCCCAAAAAAAATGAAGTCGCTTGTGCAGTAGGTTAGAAGAGAAGTTTGTTACTGAAAAATGTGCACGTCTAAAGGATCAGAAACACGTTTTTTGCCGAGGTTGAAGCGAATCCCATTAAGGTAAGTATGATGCCATGGGTCGTAACGATGAGGGTAAAAGTGTGAGTGATCACCCACTAGTTAGTAAAATGGAATAGAAAGTGGTTGCTCACTGCCTTCCTCTGTTCCTGTGGTATAGCAATGCACCTTACGCCGGGTTTATAAATAGCAGGGATTGGTTTCTTATGGTTCTGGAGGCAGGAAAGTCCAAGATGGAGGTGCTGGAAGACTTAGTGTCTGGCGCTGAGACACCTTTCACTGATGGCGCCTGTCGCTTTATCCTCAGGAGGAGGTCAGCTATGTCCTCGCCTGGCAGAAAACAGAGAAGGGCCAGGCAGCCAGGCAGTGCTCTGGCGCCTCCTGTACAAGAGCATTAATTCCATTCCTAGGTGCGGAGCCCTCATGACTCACTTCCAACAAGTGAGTAATGGTCCACGATGCAGACCACGTTTAATCACACAGTTTGGAGGAACACGAACACCAACCGTTTCACTAGTGCACCTTGTATGAAATTCTGTTACTGCTCAAAATCTGCCATAAAGCATATTTCTAATTTGAAACTTTTCCAGATTTGGGGTTGCTATAAGCAACTAGATCCAGTGCAGGGGCGCGCGGCGCGCGGGGGCGTGATCGGGCGCTGCCACTGGTCCCAGCATGACACCGAGGAGGAACCGAGGACTCGGGCTCAGACCGTGGCCTCGGGGGTGCAGCGTGGGCCCCACCTACCTGGTAAATGGCGTAGCCGATGGTCAGGACGTTGGCCCCGAATCGCTTGAGTTTCCTTCGGTCTTTCTGCATCAGGGCTACGAGGAAAGTGCATTCCTCCTGCCCCTCGTCTTTCTCGGTCAGGGACAGCTTGATCTGCGGATTGGTCCAAAAGGTATCTGCCATTTCAAAGAGCTGCATTAATTTCCCTTCCTTGAAAAGATCCACAAAGGGGCCCAGCAGATGGCATAAAGCTGTGTCTCTGGACTCCCACGTAGTCGACCACGGTTTGAGCCTTGGATCTGGTGGCTTAAACTCATGCCGGGCGCGTGTGTGTGCATGCCCAGAATCCCGAGAGGAGAGTGGAGGAGAAGGGATTGTGGTGGGCCATCCACCCTGGGCGGTGATTTCTCGCTTTCTGTCCCTCTGTCTTTCTCTGTCTCTCTGGTGAGTGCATGTACCCTCTACCAAAAATCTCTCTTAAAAAAACCCACAAAGGATGCACGAGTGTGTACACGCACACACATGCACACACGCGCACACACCTGTTCACCTCCACCATTTCCTCCCAGCCTGGAGAGAGCAACTTCCTCTCCACCTGCTTTGAGAATGCAATGTCCTCCTTCTCATGCCCACCTCCTTGGAACCACTTTCCATCCAGCTTTTAAAAGACAGTCTGCTGAAGTTCACCTCATCCTATCTTAGCCATCTGGCGTTTCAAAGGAGTGTGTCGGGACTTGGGTTTGGGGCTGCTCCCTAGCCCCTGCCTGACAGTCGTGCAGACGAGTAGGTGCCCCCACTCCCAGCTCCAAGGACGAAGGCTGAGCGGCCTCTGCCAGTCCCTTCTGCCACTGAGACCTCAAACAAAGCCAGCCAGCCCATCGCAGTCTCCATGCAATATTGGCTCAAGGCACTTTAGAGGGAAGTTGGGGATGCTTGTACGTTTGTCAGAGGGTCCCTAGGAGTGCTGGCTGGGCCTATGTGTGAGAAAGCCCGGAGGTCGCCGGAAGTCCTCCTGTGCTTATGGAGCCAGACGAAGAAGAAGTCCAACAGGGACCAGGGCTGAGCAGGTACCTACAAACACAGAGCCAGAGCCTGACAGAGCTGTGCCTGTGCTGCCTGTGGACTTTCCGCTGATGCAGCGTGGTAAACCTCTGTGTCTCCAAACTGGCCTGAGTCACATTTTATATTACGTCTAACAGAAAACTATCTAAGTGGTACAAGGGGGTCTCCCTGAGCAGTTCTTATCTAACTCCTCACTAACTCCATGCGGCCTTCTTTCCCCAGTCACCCCTGCAGTCCTGCTGTCTAGATCCACCTTCAGGATTTCTCTAGAGCACTGGCCTGGACTCTTGGGGACAGCAGAGGGTGACAGGCTGGCTACACACCCAGGAAATTGCGGCAGGCTCCAGCCGTGGAGCCCCGCACCCAGCTTCCCTGATGGATGGTCACCTCCCACTTGTGGAGGGCACCGTCGTCCAGAGCGTCCGGGGTGAGGTTGCAGATCTCCACCTTGTCAAACTGGGCCTTGAAATCCTTGAAAGCCATCCTGCAACAGAGGAGACGGGGTGCTCAGGAGGGCGACGCCATGACGTCATCCACCCAGGCGCTCATTCATCTAATGAGCACTGTCAGGAGCGGGGAGGCCCCACCGGGGGTAGACAGGACGCACGCACGCGCACGCGCACACACACACACACACACACACACACACAGGTAAAATAAAGGTAAAAAATGTGAACTCTAGGTTGATTGCATACGGTGAGAGCTGCAGAGTATAAAAGGCTGAGGCGTGGCGTGCCGGCCGGGTGCTGTTTAGACGGGAGTGAGGGAGGCCGCACTGACCAGGTGAGCACTGTGTGGAAGCCTGAGGCTCAGGGTGACGCCGCTCCCAGGCCCGGGGACACGCAGGGCAGGGTCCTGAGGCGACGGGCTGGGTATGCTCATGGGTCATCAAGAGACCAAGGCGGCTGGCCCAAGGCCTCAGCCAGGACAAAAGGGAGCCACGGGCAGGGGCATAGGGTCTGGCTTTGGGTCTAGAAGACCCAGAACCACTGTCAGAGCACCAGGACCCCGGGCTGCGGTGTCGAGATCAGGTCACCGCAGAGCCACCAGCTAGGACCCGAGCACCATCGCCGGGTGGGAGAGGAGGCAGGCAGGCAGCCCTGGAAATGCGAGCAGAGGCCAGGTTGGAGCCCACAGTGAAGGCAAGTCCCGTGGGTCTGCTGAGGGCTTGGATAGGGCAGGAGAGGGGGACGGAATCGTGGCCAGTGGAGCGGCTGGAAGAGACGAGACGGGAAGCCGTGGGGGCAGAGCCCCTCCCGAGGCACTCAGGAGCCCCTCCCAGGCGGCCGCTAGGAATGCCAGCAAGACGCAGAGCAGGCGGCTGAGCCCATAAGCCTGGGCCTGCAGGTACAGGAGCTGGGATTACCTGTGCAAAGGTCATCTTTACGTCATGGGAACAGAAGTGTCCCCCCATGGAGTGGGAGTAGATGGCAAAGAGGGTCCCTGGGTGGGCCCTGGGGCACCTCGACACTAACAGGTTAGGGGATGAGGAGGGATGGTGCAGGGCCCCCGTGACCTCATCACCTCCCAAAAGCCCCACCTCCTAATACCATCCCACTGAGGGTGAGGCTGCAGCATATGAATCGGGGTTCGCATGCAAACATTCAGACCATGGCAGCAGACAACAGAGGTGCTGAAAACCTTGCCACTGCCTAAGCTGAATGCCCAGTATGCCCGTCCCCACACTCAGCTGCTAAGCCGATGGTGCGGAATTGGGACGTGGCAGCTTCACACTTCAAGGCACCCGTGGCTTCGGGCAAGCCAGCTGCTGTAATGAGCAGGCCCCAGATGTCCAACGTGAGTTTCTCACAGCTCACGGCAGTCCAAGCCTGCTCTGTCGCCTGTGCCTCCAGAGTCCTAGAACCTCGCGTGGGACTGCTGCCCTTACATAGGAGGCCCCGGGGATGTCTCGCCCTCGGCCACGAGAGGACATGGCAAGGAGGAGCCAGAAGGGGGTCCCCCCAGACACCGCGTCTGTGTCTTGGTCTTGGACTTGGTCGTGACCCCTAGAACTGTGAGAAATAAATTTCGGTTGTCTTCTCTTTTGTGTCTTAGAGAGATTTTTGCTATAGGGCACATACACTTGCCAGAGAGACAGAGAAAGACAAGGAGAGAGAAATTGAGAAATCACTCCCAGGGGGGGTGGCCACGTGGCAATCCCCTCTCCTCCATTCTCCTCTCGGGATCTTGGGCACACACGCATGCACACGAGCCCGGAGTGAGTTTCAAGCCACCTGGTCCAGGACTTGAACCATGGCAGCCGTGTGGTAGCCCAGTGATGTAACCACTACGCCATCTGCTGGCTCCAAGCGACCCGGCCCAGGGACCTTGGCACAGCCAGGTGACTAGGACAGCTGTAGAAGCACAGGAGGCAGAGCAGGTGCCCTGCGGCTGTGGTCAGGGCATGCGGCAGTGCCCACGGTCACGCTTCTGTTCCTTGATTTAAACCAGTCGCAGGGCGACTTGTGAGCTCAGGCGAGCAGGGAGGGCCTGGGCACACGAGAGGGCCTGGGGCTGGACATCAGACTCATGGGCCTGCGGTGCTGAAGGCCAGCTGCTTCTGGACCCCAGCAGGAAGAAATCAGGTCAGCTGGAGACAAAGACACACCAAAATGTAGAGACTCGGTCCCGTGGACAGTCCAGCTGGGCATGTTTCCCTCCCACGAGAGCCTGTATTTCTGGTGCCCTCGGGGTGAGGAGCTGCCTCTGGCGGTCCCTGTCACCAAGTAGGGCACGGAGGAAGTGTGCCGTGAGCAGCAGCGAGGCTGTGCCTTCACGTCCCTGTACAGAGGCGGACCACAGAGCTCGGCGAAAGGTGCTGGCTGGGCGCTGGGCGCTCTCGCTTGCAACTCCCAACCTAGACCGGGGTGAGTCCCAACAAAATGTCACTGAAGTTAAATTTCCTGTTGACCTGGTGGATCTGAGGGGTTTGAGACAGATGTGTTTAATTTGCAAAAGAAAGAAGGAAGGTGAGGAGAGATGGGAGGAAGGAAGAAGGAAGGTGAGGAGAGATGGGAGGAAGAAAGAAGGAAGGTGAGGAGAGATGGGAGGAAGGAAGAAGGAAGGTGAGGAGAGATGGGAGGAAGAAAGAAGGAAGGTGAGGAGAGATGGGAGGAAGGAAGAAGGAAGGGCATGGGGAGGGAAGGAGGCAGGAAGGGCTCCTCGCACGGGCCACAGCACACTCACGCCGGCCACGTGGTAATGTGAACACGCACACAGACACGTGCGTACCAGAATTCCCCGTCGTCCAGAGCCGTGTGATTCAGGCGCGTCTGCTCCGCGGGGCCAACCGATTGCCACTCTGGGGAGCTAGGGATGAACGAAGTGGGTGCTGGGGCAGAGGGCAGGAGGGCGCCTCTCCCCAGGAGTCCACGCTTTTCGATGACTAAAGGATGCGTCCTGCTTGGAGCCCTGGGAATGTACCCAGGACGCAGGGGCTCGTGAACCCCGGCCCCAAGTGAGGGCCGGTTGGAGGGCACCTCCACGGGCTGTGGGAGAACCCTGGGACCGCTGGACCCACCCCTGCAGGTTATCCGGGCAATTACAGGAGGCTAGACCTCACCTTGCAGCCTTGACCTGCCCTAGTTCTCCCAAGGGGCCGGGGGGAGCAGTTTCGTTCTACCTGCTGACAATTTCTGTACTTGCCCATGCTGGGCCTGTGTGACAAACGCCATCCCCAGGTGACCTCGCTCTGCGGTCAGGTGGGTTCCTGGGGTAGGCGGGCCTGTCCAGGATGAGGGGCCCCAGGGAGGCCGTGCACTCGCTCTCAGGGAAGTGCTGGGGAGCTGCAACCACCCCTCGTCCTCCCGGCTCCGCTCGGACTGGACTTCAAGGGCACCGCCTCTGGGAGCCCACAGCCTCCCAGGACAGTAGGCACCATCAGCCAGCTGCGGGGCTGTAACTTGTAACCGGTGTGGGGGCTTCGCCTGCACCCAGGGGTCCTGGCCTGACCTTGGGGAGGGCTGCAGGCAGATGGAGGATGAGCAGGTGCTGCTCTCCAGTGGCTCGTGCAGGGTGGGAGGTGGAACTAAGAGGCTGTCTCTACTTTGGGGGCCGTTACCTTCTAAGTGGCTGGCACCCAGATAATCAGCCTGTAGGCCACGCCACACCTGAACCCCACTCTCAGGTGCCAGGCTGTGGGGAAGCTGCAGGTCCCCCAGGGTTGTGTGGGAGGATGGCAAGTGGCTTCCCGGGCCTGACTCCCTGTCAGAACGCACGTTCTGGTTCCACCTCTGTGTGTCTGCGGGAGAGGGGCCCTCGTTCATAGACTGCTGCCTGGAAACCCAGGGACTGGCAGGTCTATGGCCAGCTTGGTGAAGTTGGTGTTTCTGTTCTTTCCGTTTCTGCCAGCAGAGGGAGGCTGCGCTCTCCTCTCCACGGACACCCATCTGTCAGCATCTGCCTCCTCGGATGCTAGGTTCTGAGAGGGCGGAAGCCCAGGCCGGAGTCTCGCTGGGGCCAAAACAAGGTGACCACCTCATGCTGGGGTCTGCTAAGTGAAGCCGCGGCTATTGCCATGTTTGGTGACCTGACGGCCTTGCGTGGTCTGAAGACAAAGCTCAGCTCAGCTGTACCAAGCTCTGGGTTTGCTTCAGGGTTCCCCAGAATCCCACCATCGTGGGTAGCATGGGGAGGAGCCAAGGTGGCAGAGGGGCGCATGCAGCATTGGGTGGCCTGCTAGTGGCTACTCAGATGGCAGAGGGGCATATGCAGCTCTGGGCGGCCTGCTAGTGGCTATTCAAGTGGCAGAGGGGTGCATGCAGCTCTGGGCGGCCTGCTAGTGGCTACTCAGATGGCAGAGGGGCGCATGCAGCTCTGGGCGGCCTGCTAGTCGCTACTCAGATGGCAGAGGGGCATATGCAGCTCTGGGCGGCCTGCTAGTGGCTGCGCATGTATAAGGACAGGCGGAGTGAAAGTCCCTGTAACTGGGGCCACAGAAACCGCTAACTGCCCCGCTGTGGGTGCGTTTCCTATTCCACTTCCTGTGTCTCTGCTAGGCCTCAGGTCTCAGTCAGTGGTCAGTGGCAATCAGAGAACCCTGAAGTGTCTGGCTCGACAAGTTTCAGGGATTCCCACAGCCCATGTCCTCATTGTCTCCCACCCTCCCCAATACACACATGCATGTGCACACACACGCACATGCATGGGTGCATGGCTTATTGGAGCGGCTGGAGATCGTCTTTCACCAAATCGCAGGACTATAAAACGTGCAAAATACCCCAGGGGAGGGAGCATGTCCCTTGACATAAACACAGCTATGTGACAGCAAGAGCGTCTGTGTGGGTCTTTCCAGAGAACCAGGCTGGACAGAAGGCAGGCAGAGGTCTGAAAGGGGAGGAGTAAGGTCACCCAAAAAGCAAGACAGGACCCTGGAGGAGAGCCCAGAGAGGAATGTGGACACACCGCCCCTTCTTCACACGTCTGCACGGCCAGCCCAGGTCCCATCCGCCCAGGAGCCAGCCAGAGGGGCAGGCTGGGGGCTGACCTGTCGCTCCATGACCCGTTCCACTCGACCTGGCCCCAAGGGTTCCGGACTCTGATGAGCTCGACTTTCTGGCCTCGGAAGTTTACCTGGGAGGGAAAGGCACCAGGAAAGGGTGGAATTGTAATTACGACCAAGGTCTGGTTATGTTCGCCCCAAGCTGTCTCTGAGGAAGGTTTCGGAAGAGGAAGTGTAGAAGTAAGATTTCTGCTCATCAACTAAGCAGCACTTCAGCTATCAGAGCACTTTTTCCTCATGGACTTGGCATGGAATTAACTTTTGAGGTGTAGGAATAATTCGAGCAATATCCCCTCTCCAGAGTCCAAGGTCTCTTCCCCTTTTAGAGGCTTGCTGACTTGAGGTGTCGGGGTGGGGGTGGTCAGCTCCTTGTAGGCAGAGAGAAGGCCAAAGGGATTGGAGCAGGAGGGCGAGACATTCTGTGGCTGCCGGAACGCCGTCTAGAAGGGCCACATGCCTGAGTATGCCGGCACACGTGCCTGCCACCTGGAGCTAGCCAAGCTGGGTGGAGTGCAGTGTCAAGGCCCATTGCGGGACTACCTCCTGCTCATGGAAGAGAGAAAGAGACTTAGGAAAACGTTCCCACGAATCCCATGCCACTCAAGTGCGATTCGCAAGGCACGTGTGGACAGGGAGGGAGATGAAAGGATCCGACACAGCTAGAATTCTGAGAGTCCCC